CATGCAGTATTTGCTAATTTTGAAAAAACTCAACAAGCTGTAGGATGTCAACTAGATAAAGCACATTGGACTATAAAATAATAAATAATAAAGGATTTTCTTTGGTGTTAAACAAAATTTATTGCCAGAAAAGTCTAGTACTAGAAAAATCATAAAAATATTATAACCAATATGCAAAATATTATTTTACTAGTAGGTATGCTGTTTAAAGTATAGCAAACCTATAAAATCAAAATTTTGGGTGGGGTAAAGTATTTCATTACAGCACCGAAAGCGGTGTTATAATGAAGTCATTATGAACGCAAAATAGATAAAAAAATTAATTTTATACCTTATATTTAATTTGGTCGAATTTTACTTTGGATAGTTGGCATCACAGTCATTGGTTTGACAGTTAATGTCGAAATCGATTCGCCATGCCGTCCTTAATTTACTTATTTACAATAAGCGGCTGTTAATGTTAAAGAAAAAAAAGGATTTTCTTTAGTGTTAAACAAAAGAAGAAAAGTCTAGTAGTACTAGAAAAATTATAAAAATATTATAACCAATATGCAAAATATTATTTTATTAGTAGGTACCTATGCTGTTTAAAGTATAGCCAACCTATAAAATCAAAATTTTGGGTGGGATAAAGTATCTTATTACAGCACCGAAAGCGAGGAACAAAAAATACAGCAACAGAAAAGCAGAAAACAAAGAATCCATAGGATCGTAAATAGATAACAATTTTGTTTTTTTTTATAAAATTTACTTTTAAAACGAAATTATGGTAGTCAACAATTAAGTAAAACAAATAAACATCGAAAATTCGTAACATTTTATTTTTTAATGGTCCGCAATTTAAAATAATACACTGAGGATGTCAACTGTTTACTCGTTTCGTAAACAGAACGTCTGCTTCATATTTCTTCCAATAAATTTCGCATTAAACTCTTCGCATCAAGAATAATGGTATTCTTTCACTTAATCACTTAATTTGGCATATCCCCTTTAAATAACAATAAGCTATGACAACAACGACAGGGTTTATGGCAACAATGTTAAGTCACTTTCGAGCTGGCTGTGAGAAACAGTTAAATTGACAGCCGCTGATTCGTTCTGGGTGTTGTTTGGTTCTCATAGCCGACTGTTTTCGGAATGTTTAAACAACACAATGGAGAAGGTAAAGATTCAAGTTGCGGAATTCCGGTTTTAGTTTAACAACAGCAACTTTTCGAGTAGAAAATGTACCTACCTGAATTTATATTACGGCAGTACAATTTTTTATGCTCAAAACTATAAACAAAATCGTTAAATTTTTATGTTGTCATTCTTGAATAGGCTTAACAGATATTTGTATAGATTAGGTTAGTAAATACGGGTTTTATTAAGGGATCGCCTACACAAAAAGTTAGGTAAGTACCTATGTCTGTAACAATTTGAAGGATTTATTATTACCTATTTTAAATTAAACGTTTAATTAAATCTGTTGTGTTTGGGTTTTATAGAATCTCAGATACCTATGCAATAACATAACAACACACGTAATTAATAATTTTCTTAATTTTTACACCAGCTATTGATTATATTGTTTATTTAACCATTACTGTACGCCTACACGGATCAACTATAAAAACTTCTTGACAACCCACACCAAACATCCAATGCATTATTAATATGTTAATAAAATTACTGTTATAGCGATGTTTTACGTTTTAAAATATAAAATTAATTTTTATTATGTCTTTTATTAATACTTAAATGATTAAAACTACTTGTTATAGTTTAAAACGGTAATATGGCCACTATACAGCCCAGACTTGAAACCTACAAGTTCTAAGTTGACAAAAAATACTACATTAGCAAAAAATATGGATTAAAACCAATGATGTCAATTTTCACTTGACTTAATATTCGGATCGGTAATTTGAAGGAAATGGAGTCACGAGCAATTTACTCTCTTGAGATGGGAGGAGGCTTTGAACTGCAAGGTTTGTCGCAGAACAAGTGACAATCGGCAGTCACGCGACTCATTTCCACCTGCCTTCGTTTGTTTCAAGCTCATTTATACTAAATACAATCAATTTTTAAATCCTTAAAATAACCACCGTGGTATACCGGGGGTGCACCATTTTTTAGACACCCTGTAGAATGTGTTGGTTAAAATTTTGAAATTTAATAAAAAACAACCCATTTTTGTTTATAAAATTTAAGATTTTTTTATGTATTAAATTTCAATAATCTAAAAAAATCTGAACATTTGTTGGTACCCGTATTTATTATTTTTTAATAGTTTCCCGAGTAGTTTCCAAAACTGTTTAAATTTAAATTAAATGATTTTGAGTGTAATTTAAAGGCGTGCCTAATTAGGGCGTCAAAAACCTAAAAATAGATTAAGTTATAAGCAACACAAATCTTAAGTTCATTACAAGCAGGAGGTGTCGATAAAAGTTAACGTTAGTCATTATGGTCTTTAAATGTTTTCATTATTAAGAAACATTTATTTAGGTGGCAAAAATTTATCACCCCAAAATTAAAAAAAAATCGTTTATATTTTTCCACTTCAAGAATTATTTTTTAGAAACTTGGCAAGACTGTTATGTTAGTAAAAAGCTAAGATCAAAGATAATACACCCCAATATCTCAATGGGTTACTATGGTAACAAACAGAATACAAAAAATTAGGTTGTTTATTTTTAAAACGTTAAAATAAGTAGAATTTTAAAAACTAGGTACTTGTTGGAATTATTATGCTTATAATAATATAATAAATCAATTGGCAAGGTACATTAAATTGTGTTACCAAGTAATTATTTTATTACAATAACAAAATAAGATCATGAAATTCAAGGACAATTCCTAAAAAAATAAATTTCAGACAAAACTGTTATTTTTATTTATAGCGCTCATCTTCTTGGAAAGTCTTCCTGTTATTTATTTACTTCTAATTTTAATTTTTCCGAATGTTCTCTCACTAAAAAATATTTGGCTCAAAGCCACCGGCTACCTACTACAACATAAATTCATAATTTGATTTACAAAGAAAAAAACGATTTGTACGGTAAAATCGCCCCAATTTCAAAAACGTATGACGTAATAGGTATTAAAACCTCACATTTTTTTCGACCTTCAAAAAGGTTGCAGCTGTTTTTTCATTATTAAAAGTATAATGGCGTGTTCGGGTCACATTATTTGGTTATGTCCATTGTGAGTGCGATGACTCATTTTAATTTTCTTCTGTCTGATTAAAAAGCCGACGAAATCGACGAAAAATGTTAATTTTTTCAAACTAACAATTTCACGACAATTACATTGCTAAATATTTATTCAGGCAGTGTATTTGTCTACATATCCAAAATAGGCATTATCTCATTTATTTGCAAGGTTTTTTGTTTAAAAATTATTTAAAAACATCCATCAAAATTATCTAACTGGTTTAAAAAATGCTAATTTATGCAACGATGATGTCATTTGACCTGTAAAATGCATAAAGTTCTTAAAACTTATTATAAGTTATTTTTAGTTTTGCTGCAGTTAACTAAATAAAATAAACTTAATTTTACTTGCAAATTATACAAATAATAAATGACTGAATTATACACAATTGTTTATTTTGTTTTACAGGGACATGTTATAATTTATAACTTTTCAATAATCTTTGCATCAACCTTAAAACCCAGTTTTTGGCGAGTTTTGTTCGTAAAAAGTAGAAACTTCATGCCTATTTGTTTAATGTCAAAGATATATTGATTGTTAAGTAAAAACCTGGCTTTACTTTCTATAATAAAAATTAGGTAGGTATATAATAGTTATTTATGTCATTAGGTTAAGAAGTAAGGCTTTTTGTGCTAAGCTCAAAGTTTGAAGGCCGACGCGTAGCGGAGGCCTACAATTGAGCGAAGCACAAAAAGACACTTCTTGGCCGAATGGCATACAACATTTTATCTTTAAAGCACTTTATATAGGTCAATTTAATTCAACATGAAAACGGCCTAACCTCACTGTTTTAGCATCTCATTTATTTATTAGCTAAAGATTACATTAAATGTACAATAATTATTATTCCTTTTAGAAGCAGTAATAGTTTGACAATACCTATAGCTATAGCTACATGATTTAAGTAGAAATGGATTTTTGTAAGAAAATGGTTTACTTACCCTTTTGCTATTACATTAAATTCAATTAATTGTTTAATAAATAGGTATCTAATTTCAATTTGTTTGCATTTTTATTAAAAAAATAGGTAGTTTGGAATGTTTACGCCGTGTTTAACATTTAATTTCACTGAAAACTTAAAGCAAATTAAAATTTAAAGATAATTTAAATCGTAGAAAAAGAAAACACAACTGTGAAATACACAGAAACGTCAAATTGCAATGTCCTAACCTCACTTTTTGTTTTATTATTCATATTTAATTTTACAATAATTTAATGAAAAATATTAAACATTATAATGTTATAACAGTAAAACAAACAAATTAGTGCTTATTATAAATAAATTAAACCAGTTTAGTACGTTTATTTCTTAGAAAAGGATTAATTTGTCAAAACAATACCCCTAGCGAGAAAAAATCGAACTAATTACTTGCCTCATAAAAATTTTTATCGGCCTAGGCCATAACAAGGTATTTCTTTATCGAATGTTGACAACAATAAAGTTTAAATTATAGACCGCGTGGAGATAAAATTTATAAGATATTTAACTGTCAAACTTTTAGAAATGCCTCACGTTTTCTACCAGAGAAGCCAGAGGATGCTAATCTCTAATCTTATAGGAGAAGTGAAGCAAAAAAACATGCAAGATAAATGTGTTTTGGTGCAGTGTTTAAATTTAGATCGGGCATTATTTATAAACATTGCCGCGCAAAAGAAAAATTAATAACACATTGGACACCGGCTGCAATAAAATGAAATTAAAATTCCTATGTATGTAGTCTGCCATTTAAGGCATTAAAACGGGCTGCTCGAATGCATAAGGCATATAGAAATCGGAGTTTCTTGTTGCATATGGTCAGTTTTACCTGTTTTCCCGTCCTCGGAAGAGTTTCCATGTTAGTTCCGTTGACAACCGGAGCCTTTTCTTGGGTAACACCCCCGTTCGGGGTGTTCCCGTTACCCAAAGCCATTCTAACTTAAATATCCACCTCGAAATAATTAAAACGAAACACAATACACAAACATTAACGTTTTTCACTGATAAATTAATACATATCGACACTTGGTTTCACTATTTTCACCGAAAAAACTAGACACCGACACGAACTCCGCGAGAAACAACTTGGGAGTAAAAATTTTTACTAGCGTAATGTAATAGTCGCCCGAACCAATCAAGAGCTTACTTTGTACTCACCGTCTCTCTCCGACGCGTGTTTAAAATTACCAAGCCGTAGGTCTGTGATAGAAGAAGCGTTAGATTGTCGGGCATGCGCGTTAGCAAACCAGCGATTCTCAACAAGTTTGTTTTTTTTTGTTTACCTGAGTGCGTACCAAATGGAAAAATCGAGGTGCATTCTTCTGAAACCTGCATCTCTTTTTTATTTTTTATTAGACTCCTAAATTACGCACTAACGGAATTCGGAGTATTGTGTCTATACACTGTTATACAATTAAGATTTGTTAACATGAGTTTGTAGTTGGTTAATTTTATTTTGTTTACAAAATTTTTTGTATACAACCTGAGTTTGTAATTATTTTAACAAAGGAAAATTTTTTACCCAAAGTTTTTTAAAGGTAAAATGCAATTTTGTAAGCATTTTGTTAATTTCAAAGGGTACAGATTATTTTGTTAATATTTAACAAATTATTCCGTTTAAAAAGTACACGTGATTTCAGGCAGCCAATCAAAACATTTCCAAGCACAACACACATCAACAAGTTGTGTCAAGTTGTGCCCGTTGACGTTGACACTGTCAACGTCAACGGGCGTTTATAATATTTAACGGTGACAGGAGTGTTTATAATGTCATTATTGGTTTTCAAATTAAAATTAGGGGATATAGTGAAGTTAAATCAGTAAGTGTTTTAGTAGTACTGATAGTTATGTTGTACCAAATAGGTAGGTATAATGATTATACTATAATCTGATGATTTCAGAATGGTGTGTTATTTAATTTTGTGTATGTTATTTTTGTGTTCATTTATGTAGGTAGGTAGGTATGTGTTAATTATGTTTTATTTAGAAAATTGTTTAATAAAGCAACATTTCTTAGGTATAACAAATTCTATTTTTTAAAGTTCCCAATTTACAACAAATAATTTTGATACTACATAAAAGTTTGTAAAAAATACAAGAATTATGGTCAGTGCCGGTTTAAGTTAGTTCGCCGCCCGGTTCTGGCACAAACTCCCAATGCTTTAAAATATTACTTTTTTAAAAACATTTTTAAATGTTTAAGTCTTACTTTCTCACGTCAAGTGGAAGATTAGGTTGGTTAGGATGGTATCTAACAGTTAACTACTAAAAACTAATCAAAACTAACCAAAAGCACTAACTAAAAAATAAAACATTCTTTGGTTTATATAAACAATACTAAGTACTAAGAAAAACTAATTAAAAAATAAAAGTTTAATATTTTGTTTCATTAAACTAATAAAAACTAATCAAAAGTTATAAATAAATAAAACATTATTCTTTGGTTTAAATAAATATTGAGAAATTCTTATACTAATAATTAAAAGATTGTTTTCAAGCCTTTAAAGTAGCAAATTGTTTTATAACACTTTACATTTATTTCATCTAGCAGGACAGAATTGCTAAGGAGTTAAATCTTTCTTGGGGAATTGTATTTCTTAGGTAGTTTACCCTTTTTAGAGTAGAAAAAGATCGTTCACCACTTGCATTTGAAACCATTATAAAAAAAAATCGCAGACAAATATTAATATTCGAAAATGAATATATTAATTTATTTTCGAATAAAACTTATACTAATTCCAATGGAGTTTCTATTTTTATTTCCGAAAGGGAAGTTACCAGTTTCTTAAGTTGGACACATTTTTAAGAAAAAAACTCATCCAAATCCTCCACGAAGATTTATACTTTTAGATTAAACAAAAATTCAAATTTGTTTGTGCCAGATTTCTAGCTATCATATCGACAAATGATTTCGGATTATAGATTGTCAATTATTAAAATAAAACATATTGTTCGCATTGTTTCTTTTTTGCTTAAACTTGCCTCTGAATTATTTTCTTCAAATTGTAATTTTCTTATGATTATCCGCTTCTGAGCATAATTTTCGTTTCCTGTTAATTTCCTCATTATGATCAAAATGACCACGTAAAAAATCAAAGTTCTCAACTAAAAATGACAAAAGATGAGCATTTGTGCTTAAATCCATATTTTGTTTTTGGACTGCTTTATTGGTTTCATTAACCCTTTGCAAAACGTCTATCCAAAAAGTTAAAATTATTCCGTTTTCAATAAATCAAGTTTTTCTGATGGAGAAGCTGCTTCAACTCTAACAACATTTTTCTCATTTGTTTCCGTTGTATCCGCCGACGCAGTGTCGCAATAATTTTTTTTCTAAATTCTAACGATTAAGTATTTAAAAAAAAAATTATGGGCGGTACGCGGTACCGCCCCAAAAATATTTACCGCCCGGTGCTATAGTCCCCAAAAAACCCCTGTTAAACCGGCACTGATTATGGTTGAAATTGACATGGAATTTTGTTATTAAATCTACTAAATATCTGTAATAATTACAAACTACTTATTCAATTAGTTAACAGATTACAGTTGGTTGTAAACTTAACAAAAAGTTATGTGGACCTGGATTAACATAAAATCTGGTTATTATTTGGTTAAAATTAACAAATATTTTTTTACTGTGTAACTATTTTGTTTATTATAATTTTTTTGTTGTCAGAGAGAAAGAGGGAAAATGCCCATGGGTTTTAAATAAATAGGCAGTTTTATTTAATCTACATAGGTACCTACTTAGTGTCCTCAAAATATATTAAAAATACCACCATTTTTTTTAACTATTAGTTTAAGAGTACCTACCTTGCCTTTCCTGGTAAACAATAATATAAATAAAACAAAAACATGTAAGTATAAAAAATAAACAAATAAATTGAACGGGTTTTTTATCAATGTCAATGTTTTTGTTTTTTTTATGTTCAAATGACAAAAAAAATGTGTCTGATTATGTAAAAAAACAAAAACATTAAATTGCCCATTACATAGTTTCATGGCTTAATAATGCCATTTTCAGCTTCCTTACAATTGTACTGGGCCTTTACAGGAATTTTTTAATAAAATATTAATTTTAGTAAAAAGCTGTCGTGATAAGGACTTGCAATGGCCCTTTTTAGGCTAATATTTGTATATTTTACCATACCTACATATATGGCAATTTTCAGTATCTAGTTAATGGGACTTTAAAGAACCATTGAAGTGCCAAATGTTTTATGTATAAAACTTACATGAACTTTAGTTAACGCCATATTTAAAAAATGACGCCCAGTGTATAGTGTTATACCACATTAAAAATAAATAGTAATATCTAATGGTTGTTAAACGTAAATGGGTAAGTAGGTACACTTTTAATTTTACAAATTTTAGAACTCTTATTATAGACAAATTTCCGCCAAAAAATTTAGGAAAAGGTTTAATTTATAAGGTTAAAATTGGGGAATTGCGAATAAAATAAATTAATAATGGCAAATACAACCATGGTTTTCTTTGTTATAGAGGACAATCGACCAAAAAAAATCAAGTATTTTTTATTTAGTTTAAGGATTTTATTTATTTTTTAATACAATTTTCATGTTTTACTTATACAGGTATTTATTAGAACACATTGCTTTGTATTTTTCTTGTAAATTTATAAATGTTTTAGTATTACATTTCACGGTAATAGAAGAAATTTACAAGAAAAATACAAAGCAATGTGTTCTTATAAACACCTGTATAAGTAAAACATGAACATTTTATTAAAAAAATAAAGAAAATCCTTAAACTAAATAGAAAATACTTGATTTTTTTGGTCGATTGTATAGGTATATATACCTACTTCTATATATGGAAGTAGGTATTAGTATTACATTTCACGGTAATAGAAGTAGGTACACTATATATATAGAATATATGTATAGAATATATAGTATATTTAGAATGTATATACCTATAGGTATTAATTAATGTAATGGATAAATAAAGTAATTATTATGGTGGATTAAATGTGGTTTGTTCATATTTATTGGGTTGGATATTCCACTATAATCGAAAAATTTTATCCTGACCGTCAGAAATTGTATTGTGACGGGAGGGATAACAATTTCTGATTATCGTGGAATATCGTTATGCAATAAATGTATACCTACAACATCAATTCCACCATAAAAGATACTTCACTTATTCATTAAAAATTATTTAAATAACCACTATAGAATCTTTAACACCCCATATCAGAAACTTTAGTACATTTGTACCTGCCATATCAGAACCTTTAGGGCGCCATATCAAAATATAAAATAGTTCTTGTAAGAGCCTTTAGTTGAATAAATGCACCTTTATAAAAGGCCATTTTGCATAATGGCCTTTACAGTTGTGTTTGCTGGGCTGTTTTTAATGCAGCATGAATCTTCTTTGAGGTCTGTAAATTATTGTCAATACAGATAAATTTGATTCGCAAAGGCAAAGGCAAAAGTTGTACTTTTTCTTCCTAAATTTTTCAATAAAAAAATTATCCTTTATAACTATACACTGAAAGAAATTTGTTGCTAAAAGTAAATACAAATTTATACTAAAAATTTTATACTAGTGCTTTACAAATTTATACTACTGTTTATTATGAATGTATGTTAAATTTTGTAATACATTTATTGTAAAGAAGATATGTTAGATCTAAATAAAAATAAACTTACCCTTACTATAAAATGTAAACTATAAGTGAATTACAGCAAAAAAATATTGCTAGAAACACATTTATATTGCTAGGGCAGCAATAGGCTGCTAACCAAACGAATATATTTGTTTTAGCAATGTATGTGGTAGTCGATATATGAAACATAAAATATATTTGCCCTAATTATTTTTTTATTTAACTTTAGTATATATTTCTTTCAGTGTAGGTATACCCTTTATAATTTATATTAAGATTTTTTTCATCACTGCTAAAATTTCATATTGTTTAAAATTATATTTAAAATTATAAAAAGTGAATGTTTGGAAAAAAAATAATTCGCTTCATTTTATACTATTCCTCATTCCATTTAATTTCAGCAAGTTTCATAAATTTAATTTGTCACTTGTTCCCGGAAAATGTATTCATATGCAATTAGTATCGCCAAATGCAATGAATTATTCCAAATTATCTAGATAATCAACCATAGGCTATGTCCATAGCTGATAATTGGCTTATGTATCGTCCCGATTCAATGGAGACGTGTGTGTTCCATTCAATGTCAATGTCAACCCATCCACTTTAATAATACCTACACCGGAAAGACTGACCAACTACCTATTTCCAGGTATGTGTAATTATTTTCGTTATGTAAGTTTAGCGAATTTGCGCGACTTGTCTGCGCATTTCCGACCTATAAAAACGAATTAATTAGGACAATAAGGATTTATTTAATCCCGGTCAAGTAGGTTGAACATATCGGGAAATGATGTCGTGGAAAGTAGAGGTTGCCATTTGTTTGGCTGTATTGTACATTGGATGCGTTTTGGCGGTAAGAAATTAAAAATTTTATTATTTTAAATTTTAGAGGACATATTTTTTTAACACAACTAGTATTATAATATTTATTGTAAAAATCACACAGAACATAACGCTTATTTAGTCTTATGTATTTTCTGAAAAAATACAATATACAATATGCAATTTTATAAACGAGTTGTGCACATACTATACTTTTTCTACCACAAATACTTTGATTATCTGAAAATGATTTAAATTAAATATTTTTATAGAGCGACATCTATAAAACAATAGATTGACCATTCTTGAAAATGTCAAATTTTTATGTGCAAATCGAAATGTATCCCTTGAAAAAGGACCGTTTAAATACAGTGAAATTAAGTTAAATCCAGTTTACTGCCGGCGAAATTAAAACGTCAGTACAACTAAAAATAAACTTTTCAAATATTGATGAAACTATTTAATACTTTTGTTTTAAGATAATAAAATAATGTTTACATTTAGTATTATTTTACAAGAAGGGAACTTTATTTTAACGATTGTATGACATTTGACAACTATCAATTAACTTATAACTAACCCCAGTCCGTGACTAAAAACCTGTTGCTGGCTTCAGCTTGTGACTAAAACGCCATAAAGTCACAACTTGTTATGTGTAGATATTTAAAAGGTCACTTAGTCTCAAGGAAACATGTACAGGGTGATCCCCTATAATGTCGCCCCCCTTTAACTTTTTTATTTAAGTCTCCCAAAAAATTTAAAAGTGTGGTTATGTATGTACTAAAAAATAATTTTTTTCTACGTATAAAGAAAAATGGAAAATTGATCAGTATACAGGGAAAAACAAAAAGTTTATTTTTTTTCAATGGATCACCCTATATATGTATTTATTTTTTGATTCCTTGTAAAATTCTAAGCATATTTCATATAACATACTGTAACGTTTTTAACTGTTCGTAGTGTGAATAAAAACACGCACTGGTTAATTAACGAACTTAACTATTTATTTATTAACTTAACTACACTTAAAACACTATAAAACTAACTAAACACTTAACTACTAATTATTTATATATCACTATTGTTCAAGAGTCTATTTATTTGCACTTATATTTATTTATTTCACCGCGAGTACCAAATCTTCACTAACTGCCGTGTGCTGCTCCGTTTCTTATATATTCAGCGCCAAGGTCTTCTGGAACATTCCAGCGAGCTCCACACTCTCGATTGTTCGAGCGCTGAGTCACCGGCGATGACTCATCGGCGATGACTAACCAGCGATGAGTCATCACTCCGATATCCAGAGCGGTACTCGCTACATTGCCCCCGTCTTAAAACATTTTCGTCCCGAAAATGGTCCTCAGTTCCATGGCGATATTTGCATAGAGATCCAAACTTGCATTGTGACGTCCTATAGAAGTAGCAGTCTACGGTCTTCCTTCCGGTTGTTCTTTTAGGGTTGTGGCAACAGACAATAATGTGTATGCCACTAAATCTGAAGATAACTTCCACCATACTTCTAATTATTCTCCAGTCCAAACCGTCAAGTCCACAAGCAATCTTTGGTATCGCCAGGTTCATGATGTCCTTGGACAAAAGGGTATCCCTTAATTTATTTAAGACATTCCATACGTCACGGTAGTTTGGCTTCTGATGAGAGAGCTGCTTCGTTACCAGATAGAAAATACTTCTGTTGCCTTTCTGCTCGTTATTCACAATTTCAAGCACCTCTCCAACTTTGGGATTCTGCCTTCGTAGCTCTTCGACCCGTCCAAACTTGTTTTTAAAGACAACCGCTATTCCCCTGGACATCCTTAGGTCTTCTGCAACACAGTGAGCCAAGGAGTAATCGGCCGAAACCGTAAACAGATCTTTTTGTTCTTCTCGAGTGACACCATACCGAGCTTTTTTACCGCTCGAATATAAATACATGAAGTCTTCAAAAAGCAATTCGTCTTCCGGAGGATTAACTCGCCTTACTCTAGCATGGTTCATTTGGTCATCATTGTTTCCAGCGTAAGGAGCCAATCGGTTAAAATGGATCACTTTCGGCTTTCCTCTTGGTTGTTTTCTGATCCTGTAGATGATGTCATTTATTCGATCCATGACTTCGTATGGTCCTTCCCAAGAAGTCTGCAGCTTCGGTGAATAACCACGACGGCGTTGAGGGTTGTATAACCAAACTAGGTCTCCAGGTTGAAATCCTCCATTTTCCGCCTTGATGTCGTATGCCTCTTTCATTCTATCACTGGCACTCTGGATGTTTAAACGAACTCGGCTGTGTATGTCGCTCATTTTCTTACGTAAATTGCTAACGTAATCTTCTCCAGCAATATCATCCCCTGGTAGGCAACCAAATCTCAGGTCACAAGGTAGACGAAGTTCACGTCCCATAACAATGCTAGCGGGTGTCTGGCCGGTTGTATCGTGGATAGAAGAACGGTACGCCAACAGGAACAGATGAAGGAAGCGGTCCCAGTCTCTTTGGTGATCAGAGACTACCTTGGACAGGTACCGGTTTATCGTTCGATTCATTCGTTCTACCATTCCATCAGACTGCGGATGTAATGCAGTCGTCCTCGTCTTCCGAATGTTAAGAATTTTACAGACATTCTGGAACAGTATAGATTCAAAGTTCCTGCCTTGGTCTGAATGCATCTCCATTGGCACACCAAAACGACAAATCCACTCCTTAATAAGGGCATCGGCCACTGTGGCAGCTTCCTGGTTTGGCAAGGCGTACGCTTCCGCCCACTTGCTGAAGTAGTCCATTACAACGATGATGTATTTATTTCCAGATTCTGTTTCCGGAAATGGACCCGCCACATCGATTGCAATTCTCTCAAATGGGCTGCCCAAATTGTACTGTCGCATTGGGGCTTTTGGGCGCTTCTGGGGTCCATTGCTTGCCGCGCAAACGGCGCACTTCTTGCACCATTCCTTCACATCTCGTTGGCTGTTGACCCAATAAAACCGTTCCCTAAGTCTTCCGAGCGTCCTGGTCACCCCAAGATGTCCTCCAGTAGTTCCATCATGGATTTCCTGCAGCACTTCTGGTATCCTGTTTCTGGGGATTATTATCTGTTTCCGGTCTTCCCCCCCTTCTGGCATCTCCAAAACGCGCTTTAGAAGCCCGTCACTTAGGATGATGGAATTCCATTGGGCCCAGTACGATTTCACATTCGGCGAATATTGGGCGACTTCCTGCCACGTTGGTTTACGGTCGTTCTTCTTCCAATCGATGATGAGCTTCAAATCCGGGTCCCTTTCCTGGTCTTGTTGAACCTCAGCGGATTGCCAATGATCATCTACGATTGTAGTCCTGCGAATATACACATCCTTTTCTTCGGCCCTATTTATTTTTCTAAATGAAGTCGGCGCCACCTGACTTCCTCTGCAACGACTTTGGATATGTCCCAGCTTTCCACATCTCCAACACCGGATTTCCTTCTTCTCTGGTAAATTCTCCTTAAGAACTCGCCTTATTGCTTCAATTATCCTGGGTTCTTCCTTCTTTTCTTCTTCGACTCTCCTTATTCTAGACTGGCTCCTGCAGCTCTGCTTTGCCGCCTCGAATTCCAAAGCTCGAGCCAATGCATCAACCAGTTGGCTCGGGCGAGCCAGTATTAGAGCCTGTCGTGTTTCATTGTCCCGAAGTCCATCCAAAAAGGCTTGAACCGCTAATCGTTCCATAACGGTCGTTGGAGTAGCTGGATATGCTAGCCGAACCAAGCGTGCAATATCAGCTTCAAATTCTTGCAAAGTCTCGTTAGATTTCTGGCAGCGATTCTTTAGTTGGGAATGGTACACATGTTCCAGATGTGTCTGGCCATATCGAAGTTCCAGATGTTTTACCAACGCTTCGTAATCTTCTTGTTCGTTGGGAGAGAGTGTCTGCAAGATGTCCGTTGCATCTCCGCGTAAAGCCAGAGTCAATGCTGTAGCTTTTTCTTCTGGTAGCCAGCCATTTGCTTTTGCTGCTGCCTCAAACTGACGGATGTAGTTGGTCCAAGAAGTTTTTCCATCGAACTGAGGTGGTTTCATTCGAACTCGGCTCCCCTCCGGCATTGTTCCTGGTTCCGCCAGCATCATGGGTAGATTTACAGCTGTCAGTTTACTATTTATTTCTCTAATTTTGACCTCCAATTTCTCGTTCAATTTTTCTTCTCTCATATCCAATTCCATCCTTACGTTATTTAATTCCATCCTTACATCGTCAACTTTCTCTTCTAATTCATTGACATTTTCTAGAATCTTCCCTTCCAAATATTCTTTTAGGTTTTTAGAATTTTCTAGCATTTTCTGTTGCAAATCGTCCTTTAATTCGTTGACATTTTCCAGAATCTTCTGTTGTAAATCGATTTTTAAATCGCTAGAATTTTCCACCATTTTCTGTTGCAAATCATCCTTTAAATCGTTGACATTTTCTAACATTTTCTGTTGTAACTCGTTAGAATTTTCCAACATTTTCTGTTGCAAATCGACTTTTAGTTCTTTAGAATTTTCTAGCATTTTCTGTTTTAAATCGTTTAAATTTTGCAACATTAAATGCATATCACACGAACCTTCAAATAAATACGTATCTGGATTTTCACCCTCTTGTTCCAACGCTTCTCGAAGCCGCTGCTGCAACACATTCTTTTTTCCAGTTGGATCACATTCCCTTTCTTCTAGCTCCCGCTTAAGGTCCGCCACTTTTAAGTCCATTAACGAAACCATTTTCGCGAAGTTTCACACTAACCGCACTCCTGACACCAATTGTAACGTTTTTAACTGTTCGTAGTGTGAATAAAAACACGCACTGGTTAATTAACGAACTTAACTATTTATTTATTAACTTAACTACACTTAAAACACTATAAAACTAACTAAACACTTAACTACTAATTATTTATATATCACTATTGTTCAAGAGTCTATTTATTTGCACTTATATTTATTTATTTCACCGCGAGTACCAAATCTTCACTAACTGCCGTGTGCTGCTCCGTTTCTTATATATTCAGCGCCAAGGTCTTCTGGAACATTCCAGCGAGCTCCACACTCTCGATTGTTCGAGCGCTGAGTCACCGGCGATGACTCATCGGCGATGACTAACCAGCGATGAGTCATCACTCCGATATCCAGAGCGGTACTCGCTACAATACCATATACCTAAATTCAACCGTTTCTGAAATATTTAAATTATTTTTAAGATAATAATTTTAAATAGTTTGTTTCTCTGTCTGAGTACCCCATTTTTACTTATTTAACAAGACATATTGACATAATGTGACTATAGTAATTTATTTTAAATAAAAATTTTGGTATACTGAGGCTTCTTGATTTCTAACAGTTTAAAAAACATTTAATGATATCATTTAAATGATCGAATTCGAATGCGAATATTTCAGAAACGGTTGAGTTTAGGTATGTATATGGTTTGTTTAATAATATATGAATTATTTGTTTAATAATATATGAATTATGTTCAGATTTTACAAGGAATCGAAAAATAAATTCATATATAGGGTGATCCATTGAAAATGGTTTTCCCTGCATATTGATCAATTTTCCATTTTTCTTTATAGGTAGAAAAAAAGTATTTTTTAGTACCTACATAACCACACTTTTAAATTTTTTGGGACACTTAAAATAAGGGGGGCGACATTATAGGGGATCACCCTGTACAATAGTGGGGGTATAAAAACAAATTTATGGCATTTTAGTCACGGCTGAAGTTAGCAATAGTGGCTTTTGCGCATTTTAGTCACGGGCTGAAGTTACCTTTATTACAAAATAGGAAAAAGTGAGGTTAAATCCGTTAAAAGTTCACAGATGCCAAAGGTTTAATAAATACAATTAGCTATAAATTCTTCTTTGTGTTCGTCTTAGATAAAGTTTAGTATGCAACTCGTTTATAAACTTCTCTAGACACTCGTTTTCATTAAACACTCGCTCGAAAGCTTCGCTCGTGCCTAATAAAACTTGTTACTAAAATAGCGTTTATAAAACTTGATACATAATATACTATTGTCCCGGCGCATTCACCATTATTGCAAAAATGTTACTATGTATAGTCACGGCCAAATCTATATGGGTGCACGTCATCAATGAGATATAATGACGTCAGCATTACCAACTTTGAATTGTAAAGTTACTGCCGTTAAATTTGATTTTTTAAGGCGTAATTCTGATGTGTTATTAAAAAGAAATCATTCATTTGCGTATTGTTTACCAAGAACTGTAACAATTTCCTTGTTTTAAAACGTTTTTTCACGAAATTATCAAAATAAAACCATTCACTTAGTAATTTTTGTGTGTGCCAGTTGGTAATAGCTTAAGGCTGGCGCGCACCGTTCAATATTATTGATGGGTCACTGTCATTTTATATTTGAGGTATTTTTGTAATTGTGACATTTCGTCCGGAAGCATCGTTTGTTGCAAATTATTATAAATAATATTATACATTATGTTTATAAGATTCTATCCCTGGATTGTGCAAACAATGATATAAGGCTTGTTGGCAACTAGCCGTTATTAGATTTCGAAGACATTGCGCCCTTAATAATAAATTTGGGGAAATAATCAGACTTCAATTCTGACCTGGTTTGCTGAGGGAAAACAAACGGAGTTTATTACATTTTTATTACATATGCACATAACAAAAAAATACTAAATTATCAGAAACACAAAAATAATAAATTACCAGTCGTCCTTGTCATCAGAGCAAACTTTGCTCTGATAACAAGGACGACTGGTAATTTATTATTTTTGTGTTTCTGATAATTTAGTATTTTTTTGTTATGTGCATATGTAATAAAAATGTAATAAACTCCGTTTGTTTTCCCTTTAAACACATTTTAAAAAAATGTGCCTCCTAATTAGTTAGTGCAGAAGATTATAACAAGGATGTTATAATTCCATCTTAATAACAGCCCCCACCGCTATAAACAGTCAACAATACACGAGCGTTAGATTGTGTCTGGGCACGTATGAATAGACCTTAACGCTGACGTCATATGCCGTTGATGACGTGCACCCATACAGATTTGGCCGTGACTATAATATTATATTAAATTTAAATATAAAAAGTAAATAAATCCCATGTTATTCAAATGTATCGTATTTTCGACAATATTAATATTAAGAACTTTTATTGGTTTTATAATTTTACCATGTGACTATTAGTTTAATTTTATTTCAATGTTTTTTTCATGGATAACTTGACAGAATAACTTTTTGTAGTTATTATCAGTGGCGGCTCGTGGCAGTAAAATTTGTGAGTTCTGCCAGTGGGGTTTAAAAAAATGTGGCGCAGTGGGCATTTAATTAAATGGTACCTACAGTTAATTAATTAAATCATAATTAAATCATACACTACATTCATTCTTACAAAAGAATACAACAACAAACACAAAAATACACCGAATTAACAGTCTTCTAGTTAAAATAACAAACGTGCACGCGAAGCGAAAAACAAACGACCGGGAAGTAGGAACTGTATGTTGGTGCAGCTCCGGTTTGGCTTAAATTTCACTATCTCAACCTAGGACCAAGAGCGGCGCGGAGCAAAATTACGGTATTGAAATGGGATCCAGAACTCGAAAGTGGCCCAGCTTTGTTGTATTGTAAGCGTTAAGCGTTAGAGACCTTTACCGGTCGTTTGGATGACTGTAGTGGCCAAGTACGGCGAATGTTTATAATAAAAACTTTTTATGCAGCCATGCGTTTGAAATATTCATACACTGTCGCACTTAAATATTAAATAATTAAAAAATTAGTCAAGTAATAAGAAAATTTTGGGAGTTCTGCAGCTCTGCAGCCCTTATGCACTAGCCGCCCCTGGTTATTATTGTGCATTTTTCTACTTAAAATCTTTTAATAAAATTTAGTATAGTCGTTTTGAAGGGTGGTGAATCCAGTGCCGTGCTTAGATTTTGTTTAAAAAAATCGCTATGAATTCTTAAAAATTTACTATTAAAAACGGACATAGTAAGCCTTGTATTTTGTAAAAATATATGGCGTTTTTTGCTCCAAAAATACAGTTATCAAGAACCACTCTTTAAAACAAATCCGGTTAAAATCGCACAAAAAATAAATATTTTACAGGGGTGAGTCGCACAACAAATGGGTCACACTACTAAATTTTTATTTTATACTCTAAAAAACTATAAAACCAATAAAAGTTCTTAATATTAATATTGCCGAAAACACGATACATTTTAATAACATGGGATTTTTTTACTTTTTATATTTTATATTTTTATTTGTGAACAAGTAAATATACAGCAATATCCAATACATAATATTATTTTTGTAGAAAATAACTTAAATGCAAAAGACTTGTAAAGTGATTTTAAGATTTTAAAAGTGGACTTAATACAGTTTGGCTCTGGGGTACAGATATACAGGGTATTATGTTTTTAATGTATTATAGTAAAATACCGAATACCTTTTCACATAAGGTGTAACGGAAAAATAATTATAAAAATATTTTCCCAAAAATAAAAATATATGCATTAGAAGTTTTTTATATTTTTTGTGATACGCCACTGGTTACACACTTGTGTTCTGTGGATACTATACTTGTGGTAAGTATATGGAACACATCAAAGTTCCACCATTGGCATTGATATAAATAATTAAGGTTAATTTTCTGTCAGTGTCAAGCTAATTTCGTCTTATTTTCTAAATAATAATACAATACGAGGTGTGTTCAGAAAATATCGGGAATTTTCGTTTTTTGAAACAAATATTTATTTATTCGTCTACATTAATGTTGTCGCCTTCAAAATAGTCCCCATTGGATATTATGCACATGTGCCAGCTCTTCTTCCAATACTCGAGTTCTTTCAGCGATGCGCTTTTAATGTCATCTATGCTTGCAAAACGACGGCCCTTTAAGGTTCTCTTTATTTTTGGGAATAGGAAAAAGTCAGACAGAGGCATGTCTGGCGAATATGGAGGCTGGGGCATCATTACAGACTGTAATTTACAGTATTGTTTTTGGCCAAAAATTTTGTTCAAAATTTAACAATTTTAGAACAAATTTTGCTGCAACGCGTTTCATACCCAAAACATTCGAAAAAATTTCATATTTATGTTAAAGAAAAGCTGCCGTTCGCCATAGCCCTCGAGTTGAGGTTACAGGATGAGCCAATCGATATACCAACATTATCAGCGACTTCTCTAAAGGTTTATAACCATTTCTTCCACTTTTTCCATGTTTTTATCGGTTGTTAATGTACTTGTGC